CCCTTGTCCTCTGCAAAACTGCAGTGCTGCAGATGGAGAAACACTCACCACCAGGAAAGCCTCCAACCACCTCACATCTTCTCTTCAAACCAGCAACCCTGACTGTTATCACAGCCTCCTCCCCTGAATAGGGATTTCTTGCAGGAGCAAATATAGTCTTGTACACGTAGCCATAGACTCTTTGGTCTGCACTCAGTGCATTGTTTAAAGCCAAGGTGTCATGTCTATAGCAGCAAGTGCTGCTTCTTCTTGTCCACAGTGTCAAGAAAGCCATGGTGGCATTTTCTCCCTCCCTCCTGAAGGAGCAAAGCCCTTTGTGCAGGATGCAGTCCATCCAGCTGGACAAATCCCCTTACTAAGCATTTAATGCAACCAAGAAGGGACTGTGCCTTGTCCCTGTGTCCAAGGCACCAACTCCTTTGACCATCACCTTCCCATCCTCCCTTTTACCTCTGGCCAGAAATTCCCATTCTTATCCTGCACCAGACAGATCACCTGAAGCATCTCTCTGGTGTTTCACTGCTGCTAAATGGAGCTTGTGAGCAAGGACAGCTGCCTTTGGGGGAGTGGATAAATACTGGGATGGGAACACCCAGAGAGGGTCTGAGGGAAAGGCAATGATGGGCTCTGCAGCACAGCCTCCCAGAGTTGACACTTGCTGTTGCCACATCCCTACCTGGTCCACACTTCCATCACTCTCCACTCAGGTAATTACTGGTGAGAAGCATCATCACCTCAGCTTCTGCTGTGCTTCCAGCACTTGAGCTGAACACAGCAAAAATCAAACCAGATTATAGGTGTTTTGTTTTTTTTTTTCCCTCTTGCTGAAAGCCCACAATTCACAGCTCAAGGGACTCCTGCCACGTGTTGCTGCAGGCTGGCAGGGCTGTTATTATGTGATTTGGTGCTCCTGCAGGAAGTGGGATAATTGTACTATTCCTTTATCAGAGAGAAACACCTATCTCTGGGCCAAGTGTTCCTTAAAGATAACATTGTACAATTCTCCCGATTTCATCACGCCAATGTATTTGCAACTGCTGTTAAATACAAACAGAGCAAGGACCTTAATGAGATCCTCTAATGAAACGCTGCCAGCGAATTAGACTGAGTCTGACCAAGTGTGCAATAATTGTTTCACCTTAAAAAACAAGATGCCCTGTTTGTTAATGTGTCCAAGGGATTAGTCAAGAGAGGAAGGGGAGGAATCAATGCCATGGAAAACAAAAATTGGGCAAAAATCATAAAGCACAGTGCAGTGCAGAGCCCAGGCCCAGTTCCAGAACTCCACTGTGGTGTCACTCTGGGTGACCAAAACCTTAAGAAATTGAGAATTGGGCCTTTGCTGTCCCAGGGGAGGTGTATGGATGGGAAGGAAGAGCCAAGGCTAGTTTCCAAAAGAAGGGATTTCTGAAAACAGACTGCCTACATACATACCTATATAGCATTTTACCCCCTAAAAGAAGCCAAATTCACCAATCTGTAAAGACTTGCAAGTTTCAGCAATTCAGAGATACACTTCTAAAGATAAGCATGGGAAAAATGAGTGGGAACTAAAAACCTGTAATGAAGAAACTAGTTTAAACTCATCCTGTCTGGAAGGGGAAGTGAAAGTGGTTCTTAAAAAACAGACAAAATGAAAATAAAAGCCAGAAAAAGGCAGCAATGAATATAAATTAGAAAGTCATTCAGGGACAGAGAAGGACAGACAGGAAGCCCAGACTTCATGGAGGTAAGAAAAATAAACAGATTTTTAAACAACATTCAAAAAGAAGTGCAAAATGGAAAGCTCAGCACTGCTGCAGGAGCTCTGGCCATGGCTGGGCAGAAACACAGAACTGAGACTCAGCACTGCTGTCTGGGCTCACCCACCCAAGACCCTCTAACTGGGTGCAAGAGCCTGGATACCACTGGGTCCCTGGATATCACTGGGAGCCTGGCTAAAAAGGGGGCTGGGACCAGTGGGACCAGGGCAGTCCCTTTCCAGCCACTCTCCAACTTTTTGGGCTTTCTCCTTCTCTCAAACATTCCCCTTAGACAAGTTGGAAACGTAACTTTAAATAAAGGTTAATTATCCAAGGAAAAGAAATTAGCAATGCCTGAGGAGGAATTTTCTTTCAAGAAATGTTTTCCAAGTATCTTTGATCTTTTCAAGAGAGCTCTAGTTTGAGCACCACAGTAAGACCTCAGGAAGAAATTCATCTGGGGGACTCCTGGGGCTGGAAGGGGAAGCTCTAAGCCCATGCTGAGTAGGAGCTCAGTCCCACATCTGCCCTGGTGCCATCTGAGTTTACCTTTATGCACATCAAGGAAATCACTCTAGAAAGAAAAACATGCATCTCCCAGAGACTGGAGAAATGAGAGACCTGGATCAGCCCAGCACCAAAGCATTGCCTCTCAGCTCTTGACACCAGTTGCTTGAAACCAGTTGGCCAAACAAGCAGGGGGCTATGATAAAGATATGGAAAGCCAAGTAAAGAAAGGACAACGAAGTGATTTATTCCCCATACCTCTGGGGTAAGCCACGGACAGCAAGCATAGGAAAATTCCCTTTGTCAGCTCATCCTCCTCCCTGCATGCTCAGGCCAGGAGCAGCACCGGGGAGGGAAGACACCCAGGCCTGACTCATCCCCTCCACTCCTCCTGAAGGACACATGGCTCCAGCCCATTGCCACAGCGTGTGGAGCCGCCCAGGCACTGGGAACTGGAACAGCTTCCTACTCATCCCAGAGGGAGGAGAGACCACGTGGACACTGGGGCTAGGGGAACTGGGATGCCAGGGAGTAGGTGGATGCAGGGAGAGAAAGGGAACATGTGAAAGGGAAAGGACAATTCAGCCAGAAGAGACTGGAGAAGAGACAGTACAAAGCAATTAATTGTGCTGGCAGTTCTGGGGAGAAAGCCTGGAAAAAGATATCTTTTCTTCTAGCCACTCTCCAAGTAAGACTTTTCTTGGCTACCTAAAAAGGTTGGCTTGGGATGGCAGAATAAAAAAATACCCCACCAGCATTGCACTGTCAAATGCCACTTTCCAACAAGCAGCACCTCTCCTCTCTCACAGGTCCAAGCCCTGCCATTTCAGATGGGACAAGTTCTGTCAAGCACAGTGACCAGACATCCATCAGTCTGTACAAATGTGTTCAGAGAGTCTTTCCCTGCTACATACAAGCACTGGGGCATCACCTGGGCAGCAAAGCAGAGGCTGCTTTTAGCAGCTTCAGGAAAATCCTTTCCTCTTGCCTTGCTGCCAGCATCAAGCAGGAGCCAGGAACATCACATCAACGGAGGCAATGTGGGCCAGTGACCTAAACTCTGGGGCCTGTGCCTCAGCTCTGCAGCTTTATGTACCCTTAATAGCTTTAGCTTAATCACTTCTGTGCCACAGCTAAAGGCAAAGCCATTCCCTTGTTAGAGCAAAGCACTGGCAGGCAGCAAAGGCAGCAGAAATCCCACCAGGCACTCCTGCCAGAGAAGGAGGCGCTGAAAGGACCTTCCAGGCCATAGGCTGTGAATAATCTAAGAAAGGAAGGGAACAACAGGGAATTTTTAAAATTACAGATCAATTTTTGATGGAGATATGACAGCTTATGTTTATTAAGCACACAGTAATGCTGCCAGGAGAGCAGAGCAGGTTACTTCTCTTGCAGAGTTAATACTGCAGAACCAGACTTGTCAGCAGCAGCTGTGAGAAACCAGCAGCTGCCAACTCTTTGTCCCAGGGCAGTTGGCTAATTGGTGGCTCTGCTGAGTTGATCAGGAACAGCCTCTGTGCAAGACAACAAGCCCTGGCCCTGCTGCAGCCCTGCCAACCCAGTAGCCACCAGTCTCCTAAATAACAAACCCAAGAAGCCCCACTCTGTAGCAGGTGTTTGCAGCACTGGTCCCAGTGACAGGACAGCTCAATTCCCTCCCTGCTGGCAGCTCCAGGTGAATCCTCCCTCAGTGTCACAGGCTCAGCTTCAGCTCTTGGTCCTCTGATCCCAGAATAGAAGTTTTCCTCCCAGCTTGTGAAATAAACCAGCATTAAAAAGCTCAGCAGCATCTCTCTAAGAGAACACAAGGTTCTTCCATAATTCATCAGTGAACAACAGAACATTCACCTCTGCTGTATCCCCATATAACATCTCTCTGTTATTTCTCTAGATCTGTCCAGGATATAGCACTGCTGACAGCCAGGCAGTGAGCAGCCATCCTGCTATCACTGGAGAGGGAAGCACATTCAGTCTGAGATGGCTATCAGCACAACAGGAAATTGTGCCATGCAGCTGTGCCATCCATCCCTGCTCCTGATGGATGGTGCTTGCACATGTGCCACTGATAAAGCCTGAATGCTCCTGACCTTCATCTCCACTTTTGCACAGACTGTCCCTGACTCAGGCAGCAGCCACAAACTGGGGCGGTGGATGTTCTGCCACCTGAAAGGCACCGACTGATAATGCTGGATACTCAATGCAAGGAGAAAGGAGCAGCTCCAAAAGGGCTTTTAGCAGATGACAAGGCAGGGACTGGAGTACAAATGTTCAGCTTGCCTAGAACAAGGCGTCTCAGTCATTTGCAGGCAGGTCAGGGCAAAGCTGTGACTGGTGAGCTGGATCTTGTCAGAGTGACCCACCAGCCTCCCTGTTCACTGAGGGTCTGGTACCAAAGTGATCAACAGACACACACCAGCAGCTGCTGCTAAGTGCACCATGACTGTATTTCTCATCACAGGCTTATTTCATCCCAAATAGGACCAAAACCCTCAACTCAGATTCCCTGGCAACTCTTAGAATCCCTGACAGAGAACAGAAGATCTGCTTTCCATTTCTCTTCTGAGTTCCCTGCTCTCAGTTAGCTGTACACAGCTTGGATTTGGACTGGCAGTGCCAACGACCCTGCAACACCCTCTTAGCAGCAACTGGCAGGTCACACGCAGGACACTGGAGCTGAGCTTTGTGCAGGCTGCCCACCTACCTTGCAGTCACACACCTGACACTTATTCCTCATGATTCAGTGCCCAGCCTCAAACTTTACCCTATAAACAAGCATACATCTTCCTTAGTCCTTTTACTATTCCTTACAGGATACAGATGTTGTCCCTGTAAGTTGGGAAGAAGCAGCACAGTTCCCAAGAGCACCTCTGTAAGGGTGAGCACCCATCTTGGAACGTGCCCAGCTCCTTCCCAGGCTCCCTTCCCCCTCCTACTGCAGTGATTCCCCATTAATATGAATGATGGTTTCCAAGGAGCACAGCTCTGTTGAGCAGCTGGGCTGCACCAGAGCAAGGCTCTAACAGTGACATCAAAGTGACCATTAAAAAGGCAGCACTGCGTAAAGAGCTGCTGCAGGAGCAGCAGTCCCTACACAAGGGCTCTACATCTGCATTTCAAGCCAAGCATTTCCCACCCCAAGGCAGCAACTACTGCTCCCCAGGATGCTGATGCTGGAAGTGGATGGAGTATTATGAATTTGCTTGCAGAGGGGAATGTGCCAGTCACACTTGACCGCAGTTACATTGAAAGATTTCAGAGAAGCCTCACTCCTGGCACAGCCACAGTACTGCAGGATGGGAGAGCTGGCACTCAAGTCACGTCTGCTTCCAAGAACTGGCTCCTTTCCCTCCCTGCTTCCCTTATTAAAGCATATGGCTGCTGTCAGAGAAGCTGCAGCCTCTGCAGTGAACCTTCTGCAGGTATCCTCTCATCAGCTGGGGATGCACAACCCACCCCACAGCTAATGTGACTTGCACAACCTCCCAGAGGGCAATGGCTGATATGGTCATGCACAGCACCATCCTCTCAGATGTGCAAGTGGAAAAATACTCATTTCTCAGGAGGGAAATGCCAAGCCACACAGATGTTAAGCTCCAGGTCACTTGGATCCATGCTGGCAAAAGTTTAAACTGCAGTGATTTGGGTTCCTGTGTTGCTGCAGGCTCAACATTTTCAGCATGACACTGGGCCCCAGCAGCCCCTTTCTCTGCTCCCTGTCCTCCCCACAACAGCACTGGGAATTGCAGCCAGCATCCACTGCCATCAAGACACCAGACCACTGATAGCATGTCACACCTCCAGGACAGGTCTGGTACTAGGAAAAGAGCTGAAGGATGAGTGTGGCAGGAACGACCACAGCCACCCAGACACTCCTCTGAAGGAGAGGAGGGTCAGAGCCCTTCAGTTACCACTGCTGTTATAAATGCTTTAAAGACAATGGAAAATCCTGACAGGAGCAGGAAAACACCAGTGCATTTAAGCTCTTTATAAAATTAAATCATGCCTTCAATTATGGCAAAACACAATAGGAGATATATAATCTCCAGGAGTTTAAATCCACAAAATACCATCAGCAAAGCTGCTGTGACTGATTGACTCCCAAGGGCACACACAGCAGGGACACGAGAGTAAAGTCATTTGGCCACAGCCCTTTCTCTGAACAACCTGAAAGACCTTCTGCCTGCTACCATGACACAAAAGGGACTCTGGGTCCCTAACAGGAGTATTCCAAGCACCTGAGGGCTAAAATAGCCAAATGTCAGAACAAGGGCTACACCCAGCATAGGTCTGGGGGATGGATGCAAATGTGTTCAGCCATTCCAAGTTAATATGACCCCTAGTTTCAGGGATTTTTTTTTTTTCCCCCTTAGAAGTAACAGTGCTTTCAGACCTACTGCTCCAAAAGACTGAAGGCTCCCATCACAAATTAAAGACTTACCTTACCTCAACACCACAACTGTAGGGGACAACATGCCTACCTCAGAATCTGATATGGAGACCCGATTGGACTCTATTGTTGGTCTCCTCACGATACGTGGCGATGGCCCCGTGGCATAAGGACCACAACCTGGAGTGTTGCTAGTAGACAAAAAACCTGATGATTTTTCCTGAAGAGACAACTTCCTACTTGATAGACCAGGTCTAGTGAGAGGTCTCTTGGCAACATGCCTCAACTGAGCATCTTCTGACTGTTGGGAAGACAGCAGTTCATTCATTCCCCCATCACTGTTGACTCCATTTCTTTGGATATCCTTTACATTATCAGAAAAGACTGTGTCATTTTCCTCTGTGTTGTCTTCACCATTTTGGTCACTTTTGTCTGGGACAACAGACACCTCTATGGCTGCTACACGCTCTGCCAGTTCAGTTTGGGTGTCTGTGCCTCCATCCATGGCATCTGTTGGAGAGTCCCCCATGGCTGTGTCCAGCTTGGATGGTCTCAGGTGGCCTGGCAGAGAGCTGCAATGCTAACACTCACAGGAAGCACGTGGCACAGAGGAAAGGCTCCATGAAATACCTGAAAGGAATCACAGAGGTAAACTGAATTCTAATGTTCACTCAACACAAACAGACCCAAGACAGCCATCTCTGGCTTCTTCCAGCATACAACAAAGCAAAGGTAAAACACTGGCAGGCTGTAAACAAGATGCAAACAGTCAGACAGAAAAGCAAACCCAAGCACTGAGCTAGATAGGAAAGAGATAAAGATGAGATTTTATCTGTTGTGCAACAAGTGACACAGCTAAAGAACTTCCATAGCCAGACCGACAGACAACCAGAGCTTCCAGTAATGGGAGGAGTAGCTTCCCAACAGCGAGGGTAAAGGGTTGAACTTTCAACCTCTTGAATTCTTATTTACAGGATAACAAGAGCTTCTGGCATGTATCCAAACCCAACGGGCAGAACAACAACTCCACGGCCATTTAGGGATCCCCAGTAGTCTCTCTGTTGCCCTGCAGGGCCCTAGACAGTGTCACAGAACAGCCTGGAAGCTAAGCCATGCCTGGTCACTTCCACAGTTATTTGCAATGTAGTCAACAGCAAAGGCAGAATTTTAAAGCAAGTCTGGCTCCAGGCTTGCCCCTGGCCATCCACAGTTACAGCCTGTCTGCAAACACGCATTAATCTTGCTGCCCACCACGTATAAAAGCTATATTGAGTTGCAAATAGAAAATGCTTAATGATTACAGCACTTGGGAATCAGCTTTTCCTTGGGAAAAGACCTGCAGAACACAAAAATGTAATACAAAGCTAAAACTGCTGCATAAAATTGCTCTTTCCTGGATGTTAATTTCAGCCTCAATTTAAAACAGATTTCAGTCTTCCCAGCGAAGTCCAGAGCAGGAAATGATCCTCTGCAGCACATGGCTGTCAACCCTTAATCACCTCTGAATATACAGTGCTGCATCATCTCATCCCTCTGCCCAGCTTCTGGGGACAGTGGGGAGAACTTAGCTTTAGTCACAGCATCCTGGCCTGCCTCCAGGGAATTCCAGTGTGTGCTTAACCCTGAAATATTGCAGCCTTTGGTCCTCTACATGCAAAGCAGGTTGTGCACAAAAACCCTGTGAGCCAGGTGACACTTGCATCTACATTTCATTTACATGAGGAAAGGGTGGAGGTGAGTGAGCTCAAAATCCCCATCCAGCATCAGCCTGGGAACACACACAACACCTCAAGGAGCACGGAGCAAAGGTGAAGCTGAGTAGGAAGGTGCCCAGCAATGCTCAGTTAAACACACTACAGTGAACTCTGCTGCACAGGGATGACCTCCTGGGTGCCCCTCAGCAGCCAGGCTCAAGCAGCCTTTCCTATCAACAAGGAAACTAGATAAAGATGTGGATGGGAGGCTTCACCCTAGGGCATATGTCAATCATGGGGATTCGTGCTGGGTACTCAGTGTCACAGAAAGGAAACAGCCAAATCTAAGATGTTCCTCCCTGCATCCTGCTGTTCACCTTCTCCTCCCCTTCTCCTGTCTTTTCTTCAGGCTTGCTTAAAACAAATTGACATAAGTGTCACTCACTCAAAACAGTGATGAAATGGTGAGATCAGCTTTAAAAGCTTCTATTAAAATCATATTTAAATACTTCAATCCCAAAGCACAAATCCCTCTCAGGGTGCAGGCACTGGGGATGGCTCCCAACAGCAAGGGAAGGGGAGCAGAGTTCAGTCCAGCACATACTGCACATGGTCCCACAAACCCAGAGGCAAAGCAGCACAAGCCTCCCCTCTGCCAGATCCCCCTGCTCCCCCAAACCCCCAAACCCAGGCTGCAAGCTGCAATGATGCTGTTCCACAACAGATTTGTGGGAAGCCCATAGAGGACTTGCTCTCTACAAAATGCTTGTGCAAAATTTGCCCTTGGAAAGCTTCTGAGCTGAACTAGGAGCATCACATCAGGGCAACTGTAAGCCTGCAGCTACCCTGCTCTCTTTAAAGAGGCTTTCCTGGCACTCCAGAGCCTGTGGAGCAGCACATTTCCAAATGAGACACTCCTGAGGACTCCTCATGGGATGCCTGCAGACTTGGCTCTAGGTGAAGGTCATTGCCTCAGCCCCAGGGAAGCACACACCAGTTTCCAGCCCTGCCTGCAGGACTTCCCAGGGCTGCTGTGCCTGGCCAGGAAAACAGCACTCACATCTCTGCTGTCAGCACCCACTGCCAGGGCTGGGCTGCAGCTCTCCTCACAGCCTGGTGCTCCAGCTCCCTTCAATCAGGGAAATGATTTTAAATGAAGGGAGGGAGTAAAAATGCTTCCATCATTTAACCCAGCTAGCACAACACCCTGTGTTAAAAGCTTGGCTTTGCTCTTCTGCCTACAGAGAAACAAACCCAAGGCCTTTCCTTGCAGCAGCTTTAGCTTCTGGACAGCTCATCTCATTCCTAGTGAATATCAAGAGGAAAATTAACCTGCAACTGAAGTCTGTAGCTCCCCCACCTTCTTCCCTCCTCCCGCCATGAGGTTTTCCCCCTATGTGGGAGTGAAGAGGAAGGAACAATCTGTGCATGTTGCTGTGGCTGGCATTGAAAGCCCACAAATCACCCACTTGGACTGAACATTTAGGCATCCCATGCTGGTCAGCCAACACAAAAAAAAGCCAGAAGCACTGGGAAGAGCAGCCAGATCCCAGCAAACAGTGATGGCTCATGTTAGCCACCTGCACAGCTCCTCACCACCTGGACCAGGCACTGTGGGGTGTGACCCCCTCAAAGGCTGAAGCACAGTTGCAGAGCTCTAACCACAGCACAGGCTGCAAAATAAATCTTCAGCTAATTGACAACTTAAATGGATAAATTGAAGATAAACCCCATAAATCAGTTCATCCGATCAAAACAAACAGACCCATCCAGCATCACAATGAATAACAAACTGCTGCTAAAAGTAGGCTAAAAATTCCAGCAAGGCTTTAAAGCAGTAATTGTTCATCTGTAGAGCTGTGTTTTGTTTCAGGTTCTGCTGCTTTGAAGGATTCCTTTTCACTGATAAATCCTCCAAAACTGCATCGGAAAGCGATGATTTCTGAAAAAGCAAATCAGTTACGCACAGACCAATCTCACTCTGCATAAACTCAGTACAACAGGCAATTATTAATTGCTGTGAGGCAAAACTCAATGGTGGATTTCCAGTTTGTCAGGCTGTGACACAACCACACCTTGCTGTGATGGGAAATCCCAGCAAAACAAGAGACTCCACCACCACCTGCTATCAGCTCCTGCAGAGCTTTGGGACCGATGCTCTCCACACGGTCACAGCCTGATCCCCCACAACACTCAACACCTGCTGCAGATCAGAGGATTATGCTGCAGACATGAACCAAAGCTGCAAACAAGCTTATATGAGCAAAATTAATTTACTTACAGATAGCTTATTTACCATTTTCTCCCTGTAGCTATTCCTCCCCTGCAGGCAGACTGCCACTTCAACTGTGCTTTTCACAATGTATTTATCAAATGGCTGCACATGTTTCCCAGACAGGCACTGAGCAGAGCATGGTACAAAAAAAACCCTTTAGAAAGGAATGTGATCCTGAAGAAAATCTCTCTGTATTGTATGTGGGAGTGGGAGATGAGCGAATGCAATTAGTTTTGCTGCTCAATAAACCATTTTGAAGCATTGTTTGAAGAATACAAAATTGTAAATCTAGTTTACTGCCTGGTCCATCCTTTTGGCTAACCAGAAACGTTCCTATGAGAAAGGATGGAGAGGTTAAAAGTCCCTAGGCCTCAGCAAATGCAGCTTCATTTCCCAATTTTGCTATAGGCTACCCAGAAAAGTGACTCTACAGATTCATCTGCCGCAGTCCCCAGGTTAAGAGGAATGATGCTGCCCACAGCATCCTTGTCCTTTCTGTCCCTGAGAACACATCTGCCCTGTGCTGAGGCAGTAAAATCAATCACAGTGAACAATAACTCTAATGAGCTTTTGCATGGAAAGCATTCAGGCAGCGACTCTGCTGCTGATCGGTCAGACTTCAAATGCTCATGGCACGGGAACTGGCAGGGATGGCACACAAACTCTGCCTGAGGGCACATCCATTAGGTGCTTCTTGACCTCACAAGACCCACAGGCACCCAAAGATCACAGCAGGCTTTAGTTTGTACTTTAGTATACATTAGCAAGGTCAGGAATCAGGCCAAGTTTTCTAAACAGTGCTGTGAGCCGTGCACCAGGACAGGCTGCCTGCAGAGGGGATGTCATCTCCATCACCAGCATCCACCAGCTTAGGTGAGACCTCCCACCAGGAACTCCATCCTGCCTGGGGCAGAGCTGGGCAGCACAGCCAGTCCTGTCTTGTATCATCCAGTGCTTGTGTGTGTTGCCTTCAGACGTTGCTCCCAGCAGCACAGCTACGATGAAGAATCTGCTCTGACTGCTGTCAACTGGCAGCAGAAAGTCCCTTCAAGGAGAGAAGCAGCATGTCCTGGACTGGGCTGCCAAGTCCTGGACAGCTCCTCAAATGTCATTTTAGAAATGTTAGGTCAGCAAGTCCCTTCCACAGCTCAGTCTGCCTCTCCACACCAACCAATACAGTCTATGAGTATTTCCATCCTGGAGTCTCTCCCGTGCTCCCTGTTCTGCAGTTGGGTCTGTAGGACTTCCACAAACACTCAGTGTTGGTCTACCCTGATATGAGGGAGGTAATTCCACACCTCACACCCTGACCCCACCACCTTGGTATACATGGGGGAGACATTTGCCCAAAGCTCAGCCAGCCCAACACCTTTGGTCTGGAGAAGCCCAAGGGGGAGACTTGGGTCCCACAGCCATGTACTGGATCAACATCTGAGCTGTCACAAACCCCACAAGTGTTTTGCAACATCTGGTTCTTCAGATCTAAGGCACCAGCCACTTATGGGTCTCATTGCTGTTGTGGGAGAGCAGCCAGAGGGTTCATTTTTCCTGCAGCAATTC